ACGCTGACGATGTGCGACAGCGCTCTCACAGCGGTCCCCGACGCGTCGGCGAACTTCGGGGCGAGCGCGGAGACGCCGCCGGGCGCGCCGACGGCGCCGCTTCTGGGGTCGCCGTCGGCGGGCGCGGCGGCGTCTACGCGCTCGCGCCGAAGTTCGTCGACGCGTCGGGGACCGCTGTGAGAGCGCTGTCGCACATCGTCAGCGTGCGCGAGAAGGCTGCCGTGCTCGGCACCATCGGCGAGCTCGCGCAAGTCGGCGGCGATCAAGCTTATCGATACTGTCCACCACCGCCGCCGCCCTGCGCGGTCGCGTCCGGCGGCGGCGCGTTCTCGCCTCCAAGGGCGATGCCGTCGCCGCCGCCCTTGGCCGCGATGCCCTCGCCGCCGTCGACGGTCTGCCCCGCCGCGGCCGCGGCGCCGGCGCCGGCGGCTTCGATCCCGCGCTTCGCGATGCCCGCCGCCTCCGCCGCGGTCGCCGCCGACGCCTTCGCCGCGGCGACCTCCTCCGGCTTCCGCAGCTTCATCATCAGCGTCCGCAGGATGGGCGCGATGTACGGCATCACGAGCCGCGTGCACGATCGCACGAGCGTCGCCATCAACCGCGCGGACTCCTCGCGCAAGTGCGACTCCGTGGAGTGCTCGAGCTCGGTCAGGAGCTGAAGCAGATGCCGTCGAAGCGCGGGCAACGCGTACGCGGGATTCCGCGGCGCGAGTCGACCGACGAGACGAATCGCGAGCAGCCGAACCTCCGCGCTCTCGTCGTTCAGCGTGATGAACAGCGCTCGCAGCGCGTCCGCCTGACCGAGGTGCGAGTCCACGGACGGACACGGGCGCAGAAACGACGCGAGCACGGCTCTTCGAACGTTCGCGTCCAGATCTGATGAGGGTTTTCCATACAAAAATAGTTCATCGGTCAGTTGAAAAGAGACGCGATCAAGTGTTGAAACCGAGCTATGGGTGAAAACTTTTGTTTTGAACGCACCTGACACCGCGACGGCGAGCAATCGCGACATGATGAACTCCTCCGTCCACGCCGACCACCGCGACGGCGCGCCGTTGGTCAGGTGTGATGCATGCGAAACGCTCGAAACGCTCGCGCTGTTGGCGTTAAGCGCCATCAACGCGGCGTCGCCGCCGTGTATCGACGTCCCGATGTCGCCGCCGCCGCGCGTGACGCGGTCGCTGCGGAGTTCGAGGAGCCGGCAGCACGTCAACGCGGCTTCGCGGCGCGTGGACGGGTCGTCGTCGTCGAGGTACTCCACGACGTTTCTTCGGACGAAGCCGAGCAATACGCTCGCGCCGAACGGGAACGTCCCGAGCGTCCGCAGCGCGAGCTGCACTTGGAAGCTGTGGTGTCGCCGCGCTTGCTTGTCACGCTCCGTGCCCGAGCTCGCGGGGCTGCTCCCGCCGGGGGACGACGACGCGCCGCCGCCGCCGCCGCCGCCGGGCGTTCCGGGCGTCGAAACCCTGCCGGGGCTGCTGAGGGCCGTTCTATACAAGCGAATGCCGGGGTGGAGTTCAAAGGCGTCAGTTGGCGTTGAAAGGCGTCGAGGGCGGGGATTGAAAGCGAGGGATGGGCGCAGAGACACGCCGGGCAAAGTCCTTAAGGATCGGCGTCCACATCGCGAACGCAGTCGTATGGGGACCAGTGTATAGAACGCGCCTGGGCCCCGCGCCGCCGCGGTCCGGCGTGGACGCTCCCATCCCGAACGCGTCGAGACCCGCGATGACGCCTTGGACCGCGGCTCTCGACGACGGCGACGCGTCGCCGGAGCCCCCGGACGCGGCGTCGCCCGAGGAGGCCCGGCGAGCGAGTTTACGGGATGGGCTCCGCGGCGGCGCGTTTTCGCGACTCCCGCCGTGACTCAACCCGCCCTCGCCCGCGCCGCCGCCGCCGCCGACGATCGACCGGCTCGCGACGCGTCGCATCTTTTGCATCAGCCCTTGCATCCCGCCTCGCGCGCCTCCCGCGTGACCGTCGCCGCGCGTCGGGAGCTCGATCGACGGCGCTAACGTCGCGGTGATCGCGTCGATGAGTCGCCGCTGAGGGCCGTTCCATCATTCAAAGCGACGTCGGGGTGGAGTTAAAAGGCGTCAGATGGAGTTGAAAGGCGTCGTGGTGTGTCGGGATTGAAAGCGAGGGGTGGGCGGAGAGACACGCCGGCAAACGTCCTTAAGGAACGGCGTTCACCACGCGAACGCGGTCGTATGGGAACCAGTGTGGTAACAGAACGCGCCTGAATCGACGGAAGGAGTGTCGGCAACGCGTCGGCGATGGCCTCCAGCGCGTCCACCAGCGGCGCGGACAGCCCTCCGACGAACAGCGCCGGGAGCAGCGTCCGCACGCGCGGCTCCCACGCGCCGCCGACGCTCGACGCGAGCGCGCCGGCGCACAGCAGCGCCTCCGCGGCGCCGGGCTCGATCGTCGGCGCGGGGCGAAGTCCGGTTTTTCGATCCGCGGGGCCCTGGCGATTGTGCTGCGCGAAGCACACCTCTTGGATGACGTCGGCGATCTCGGGGAGGTACCGCTCGAGGGCGCGGATGCCGGGGCCGCGCGTCTCGCCGCCGATCAGCGCGCCGAGCGTTGGGGTGGAGACGGAGGCGACGACCGGAGGAGACACCACCTCCGGCCACCGTTCGGTGCCGGGAAACGGCGATAGGTCCGTCGCCGGCGTCGGCGTCGTCGTCGGCGTCGGCGTCGTCGTCGGCGTCGCCGTCGTCGTCGCCGCCGCGCCTCCCTCGCCGCGCTCTCGCCTTCGCCGCGGACTCGACGGCTCTAAGATCCCCCCGAATCCACCGAACGAGCTCCTGTGCACGCCGTCGCCGAGCAGCGTCCCCAGCACGCTCCCGCCGTGGCTCGAGTTCTCGCCCAGAGAGCTCGCGGTGTCTTCGGCGTCTTCGCGGGCGAAGAATTTGATAGGGGGCGGGCGGGTAAACGCGTCGGTCAGCGACACGTCTCGCCGGTAGAGCGTTGAAAGGGAAACGCGGGTGAAGCGAAGTCCTCAAGGAACGGCGTGCACGACGCGAACGGGGTCGTATGGGAAACAGTCTCACCTTCGCGCGCTTCCTCGTCGCCCTCCGCCAGCGCGGCGGCTAAGTCGCCGATGGCGTTGAACCCCGCGTCTCGCTCGCTCGGGACGCGAATCGTCGCGAGCAGAAGCGCCGCGGACGAGCTCAGGTAACTCTCGCTGAACCGCTGCGGGGAGAACGCGGCGAGCTTCGGTATGAGGTTCGTGACCGAGCGTCGCACGATTCGCTCCTTACTCTCGTGCAGCCGTAAAACCGTCTCGGCGACTTCTTTATACCGGCTCAGCATAAACTCGCCGGTGTGCCGCAACAGCTCCCCGAACGCGAGTAAACTGCCGTGGACGTCCTCCACGCTCGCGCCTTTCGCGCTGATCCCGCTCTGCGTCTCCTCGTACAGTTTGTAGTACCACTGCACGCGGTACCTCGTCTCGCGTTTTTCTATGACGACGAGGCACTGCCGCAGCGCCCTGACGGCGGCTTCTCGAATCGCGAGCTTCGGATCCCTCAACGCCGGCCAGATCGCGTCGATGAACGCGGGGACGTGGACGTTAAACACCGTCGGCGCGTTCGCCGCGAGCTCGCGGAGTATGAGCACCGCGGCGTACCGCCGCGCCTCGACCCTGTCCGCGGACTCGAGCCAGTCCAAACTCCTCTTCACTTCCGACTCGACGACGTCGGCGGTGAGCACGCCGCCGGTGAGGACCAAGTGCCCGAGCGCGCGGCTCGCCGCCTCCGCGAGCTGCGGCTCGCAGGTGGGCGTGAAGACGTCCCTCAGGTACGTCGCGAAGCGATTGATCTTGCCGACGTTCTCGCCCATCTTGACGTCCGTGAGTTGATCGATCGCGTAGACGCCTCCGAGTCGACGCCGCAGATCCGGCGAGTTGACCAGACGCAAGATGCGGCCGTAGAGGTCGCGCATGTACCGCGCGAACGACTCCGGGGGCTTATCCCGCGCCTCCGCCTCGACGTGCTCGCGGAGGGAGACGCCCACGAGGCCGCCCGCGCGACGCGGGACCCCCGCGAAAGCGCTCGGCCCGTTCTCGCCGCCTGCGCCGCCGCCGCCGCCTTCGACGCCGTTTTCGCGAAAGAAGCCAAACGCGCCGCCGCCTGCGTGGGTGAAGCGATCGGTCAGTCGAACGTCTTACCGGTCAAACGTTGAAAGGGAAGCGCGGGTGAAGAGTGACGACGGGAAAAGTCCTTAAGGAACGGCGTGCACCACGCGAACGCGGTCGTATGGGAAGCAGTCTCACCTCCCGCGCCGCCCGCGCGGAAGTACCCGCCGCCGATCCCGCCGACGCCCAGCCCGCTGCCTCGGTACAGCCCGCTCCCGATGCTCTGCGAGAGGTAGTCCACGCTCTGATACGTCTGGTTGTCCGCGCCGCCGCGGCGCGACAGCCCTCTCCCCTTTCTCCACGGCGTCGACGTCGTCGTCGAAATCATCATCTCGCGACTCGGGCTCGTCCTCGACGTCGACGCGCGTCCGCCGTCGTCCCCGCGCATTGCGGCGTCGCCTCTCCCGGCGTCGTCGCCCGACGCCTCCGCGTACCCGCCCATGCGGCCTATGCGCGACCATCCGCGCGCGTCCCACGGGTTCTCCGGGATCGCGGTCGCGCCGCGTCCGCCGCCGCCGCCTCCGCCGAATCCTCTCGCGTCGCCGCGCCGCGCGGTCGCGTTGCAGAGTTCCGTGAGGAGCTTGTCGAGCGTGTCCGTGGTCGCGTCGCCGCCGCCGCCGCCGGGCTTCCCGCCGGAGGTGTTCCTCGCGCGCGACGCCGACGCGCCGCTCGCGGCGGAGGACGACGACTTGCCGGATCCGGCGACCGCGCCGGGCTTATTCGACGACATCGCCGCGCGCGACGCCGCGGAGGGCGATTGTTGTTAGGCGCGCGCGACGAGTTATTACAGGTAGGTTTTTGGAGACGACGCGAGACTGCGATCGATTTCGCGCGAGCGCCCTCTCGCGCGATCTGCCCTCGGCCGCCGCGACGGCGCGCGTCCCGAGGCTGGGTGCGCCGCGCGCGCGGCGGAGTCGGGACCGCGCGTCGAGCGTCCGCGGTTGTGGCGAGGGCGACGACGCGAGCGCCAATTGCCCCGTCGCGTATTTCTCGCGCGAAAAGCCGGGCCAGCGCTCGAGGAATCGAGCGGCCCAGCGGTCGCGTCAAACTTGAACTCGAACTACGAGGGGGAAAAAACCCGCTCACTCTTCGCGCGCGCGCCGCCGCCCCCCGCCCCCCAGATCTGAGCATGTCCTTCGACGGCATCCCCGAGAACGTCGCCGCCGTCGTGTTCTCGCACGTCACGGATCCGCGAGATCGCATCAGGCTCGCCGCGGTGAGCAAGGTGTGGAGGGACGCGGAGAAGTCTGACGTGTCGTTGCCCGGGGGCTCTCCGAGGGCGTTGTACAAGCTCGGTAAAGGGCTTTACGACGCGGGGAAGTGGAAGCGCGTGATCTACTGGTGGCGTAAGGCGATTGGAGACGTTCACGCCATGTACTGGATCGGACGCTGCTACAACAGCGGGACCGGCGTGAAGGTAGACCGTAGGAAGGCGGTCAAGTGGTGGGAAAAAGCGTCCGGGTGTGGGCACGCCGACGCGACCTACCGCCTCGCGAACTACTACTTCTACGGCCTATATTCCCGCGTGGAGCCAAATGCAGCGAAGGCGATCGAACTGTACGTCAAGGCGGCGGAGCAAGGTTCAGAATTTGCCCCGTACGAACTCGGGAACATCTACTACAGCGGCGAGTACGGCGTGGCGGATAACAAAACGGAGGCGCTGAAGTGTTTTCGCGTCGCGGTGGAGCGCGGCTACGGCACCTTCGCGCTACGGTGGGTGGAAGAACTCGAGGACGAGCTCGCGGAGGAAGCGGCGGCGTGAACGAACGAACGAACGAACGAACGAACGAACGAACGAACGAACGAACGAGCGCGTGTACCGTGAGCGAACCTTTGTAACGAACGCACGTCGAACGTCACCCGCTTCTGTCCTCGCGCACGATGGACGAGCTTTCCTCAAAAATTCAAAGTGTCGTCCGTCTTCGCTAGCCCTACTCGTACACGCATTTAGTATAACAACACGACACGCGTCTACGCCGCCGCACCGCGATAACAGTTCGCCCGCCAGTTAATAATCCGCCGCGCCCTCCAGCTCGATCCCCGGCCGCCACTCCCACGTCGCCGTCAGCGTCCCCCGCGGCGTCGTCTCCTCCGAAGTGAACGTCTCCCCCTGCGATACGAAGCGACGTCGGGGTGGAGTTGAAAGGCGTCAGATGGCGTTGAAAGGCGGCGCGGGCGGGGATTGAAACCGGGGGGTGGGCGGAAAGAGACGCCGCCCGGGAGATAAAGTCCTCAAGGAATGAAGTTCACAACGCGGACGCGGTCGTACGGGGACCGGTGTGGTACATAATAGAACGCGCCTCCGGCAGGCCGTTCTCGATCCTCGCTGCGACGGAAAACATCGCGTAGCGACTGCTCAAGTCCGGGTAACTCAAGCTCACGCGATCGACGTCCGCGCGCACGAGCGACGCCTCGTCCACGGCGAGCGTGTACCCCGGTGCGAGCGCGCTGCCGAGCTCCTCCGCGACCGCGCGCGGCGCCGCGGCTCTCCAGTCCTCCGCGCCGATCAGTTTCTCGCTGTCGGGATGATGAGTTTCAAAGGCGTCAGAGCACACTGGTCCCCATACGACCGCGTTCGCGTTGTGAACGCCGATCCTTAAGGACTCCGATCCTTAACGACGAGTTGAAAGAGTTGAGAGGCATCGCGGGCGGTGTGTCGGGATCGTGAGCGAGGGGTGGGCGGAGAGAAACGCAACGCCGCCCGGAAGAGAAAGTCCTCGAGGATCGGCGTGCACCGCGCGGACGCGGTAGCGCGGGAACCGCCGTGATAGATAATGGACGCGCCTCAGCGGCGATCCGCGCATCCGCTCCGCGATGACTTCCCCGGTGTTCGGATCGTTCCATCGCTGCGTCGCCTCCACGAGCGTCCTCCCCGCGTCGTCGCGTATCAGCAGCCGAAGCACGCGGACGTTCCGTCGCGGGACGCCCCCGGGTCCGACCTCCAGCGTGCTCTCGCCGAGGTCAACCTCGAGCTTCAAGTCGGCGAGGCCTTTCGCGTTGTTCTTTCCGTAGCGGTCCGCGTCGACGCCGTGGGTTTTGAGCCAGGTCGCGAGCGACGCGGTGTCGCCGCCGGTCCACGACGACGACGACGACGCGGCGGCGTCGTCGTCCGCCCCCGCGCGCGTCGTCATCGTCGACGACGACGCGCGACGTCCAGGGCTGCGAGGATTAATCTTTTTTTCCGCCGGATCGATGACGGACGCCCAGCAGCGCGGACGCGTCCACGCGGCGGCGGCGTTCCCTCGCGCCGCGCGCGCGATCGCGGCGGAGAATGCCCTCGCGCGCGACGTGGAGCAGGCTGTCACCTGCCGCGCCGCGAGGGACATCGGCGTTCCCGCGCGCGCGAACGACTGCGGAGGCGAGGCGGTTGCAGCATTTACACCGGAGTGCGGGGATACGAGATCCCTGCTATCCCGCCGCGATCGCGATCGATCGTCGCGAATCGTTTTCATCGGAGATCGTTCTCGCTGACCTGCGATCAAGAGGTCGACTCTACCCTTTTGAAACCGGCATCGAAGCCGTCTCGGAGCTTCCGACAGGCGACCGCGCGTGATTGGCTCGCAAACCGAAAACTTAAATAAGGGTTTATATATTGTAAATTTCGATTCTGGTCATCTCTCATCCGCCTCCGACGCAAGTCGGAGACCCTCCGATCTCTCGCGCTTCATCGCGCGTTCAGACTTGAAAACTCCGTATGGGCAAACACCCTGTGGAGTCTCGATGGTGTAGTTGGTTATCACGTTCGCCTAACACGCGAAAGGTCCTCGGTTCGAACCCGGGTTGAGACATTTTTTGCATTCTTTTCATGCAGTCATCCTCCACATGATGTGAGGAACCTCTCCACAAAGTTTCAGGTCAATCGGAGCAGTTTTGAGGCGGCGGCGGTCGCGTCACGTCGAGCATGGTCCAACCTTCCCTAAAAAATGTTATTTTTTCGAAACCAAAAAACCAACATCCCGTAACGTCGACGCGACGAGGACGGCACACACGCGCGCGCGCTCGGCAGAGAAACGCACATGCGCCGACCGTTCCCTCGTATCCCAAAGCTCCTGTACAACGCGGACAACGTCATGGCGATCCTCGGCTACGCGGTCTTCGCGTTCTTCTTCGACCGCGACTCGTTCGTCGCGCTGCGGCGAGATTTGGCAACGATATCCGTCAACGCCGGCGCGTGAGAGTCCGCGACGACGACGACGACGACGACGACGACGACGACTGCACACAGTGTATAATACGCTAGCCTAGAAGATGGGGTCGTGCGCCAGCGCGTTGACGCGCGAGGCGTCGAGCCGTAGGGACGAAGCAGACGCGGACGCGGCGGCGGCGGACGCGGTCGCGGGACGCCCGAGGCGCGTCCCGAACACGAACCGTCGCTTTTCTTCCTGCGCGACGACGCATTCGTCCATTCCCCGCATTCGTCCGCCGACTGACCGACGTCTTCCGTCCGACTCTCTCACACCGCAGCGCGGTGATTCTCACGCGCGCCGGCGTGCCCGCGACGTTAGTCAGAGAGCTGCTGCTGTTCTACGACGGCTTAGACGTAGGCGCGGTCGACGCGGGCGGCGGCGGCGGCGAGACGAAAAAATGTAAAAGATTATTCCCCAGCGGCGGCGGCGAAACGCCGTACCTTCAGCGCGTCCAAACGCTCTTCGACCCCGAACGCGTGGGCGCCGTGCGTTTTCGGTGCTTCGTCCGCGCGCTCGCGAAGCTCGCGTCGCCGCGGCCGCAGTGCCCGGGGGAGACGTACTTCGCGTTTCGATTTTTCGACGCCGACGACGACGGCGGCGTCTCGAAAAAGGAATATCGCGACGCGTTGGAAGCCGCGGAGGCGCACTTCGGCGGCGGGCGGGTGCGGTCGACGAAACCGAAACCGCGCTCACTCGACCGTTACGATGCATACGCACTCGATGCCCCCAGCACGCCGAGCCGCCGCGGCGGAGGGTACTTCAACGGCGCGCGGTGCAACGCGAACGCGCGAGACGCGACGGCGACGCGCATGTTCGACGCCTACGACCGCGACCGCGACGGCGCGTTGAGTCTGAGGCGCGTCCTGGTGGTCACACTGGTCCCCATACGACCGCGTTGGCGTGGTGAACGCCGATCCTTAAGGACTTTTGCCGGCGTTTCTCTCTTCCCACCCCTCGCTTTCGATCACCGCCCTCGACGCCTCACGACTCCATCTGACGCGCCCCCGAACTCCCCCCCCGACGTCGCTTCGTATGGACAATCACCCTCAGCGAGTTCACGCGCGCGCACGCGGCGTCGCGCGGCACGTTCGCGCCTCTCGCGGAGCTGTACGCGACGCTTCGTCCGCACATCGTCCCCGCGTACGTCGTGATGCGGACGCTGCGCGAGCGCGGGACGACGGACTGGGCGTTCATGGACGCGGGAGAGAGCGTCGGCGAGGCGAAGGGCGGGTCGGAGAATGAAGAAGCCGCGGCGGCGTCGCGCCGGCGGCTGGTCGCGGTGAAACGCGCGGACGATGAGCGTTACGACGCGTTCGACAGCGTCTGCGAGGTCACGACGGCGGCGACGACGAAGACGAAGACGGCGTCCGCGGTCGAGCACGCGCGGCGCTCGAGGCGGAAAGCGGAGCGGAGGCGACCGAAGCCGCCTCGGAGCGTCGACGTAGACAGCGCGTTTTAAAAGAGTAAACAGACCTGGACAGGAAGCGCCAGCGAAGTTTCTCGGGGCGACCGAAGACCACCCGCGCCACAACAACCCGCGCCGCCGCACGCTCGCAGTCTCGCACCGCTCCAGAACGCGATGAACGAGACATCTAAGCGCCGTCGGGTCGATCCATCCGCGCCCGAAACGCCGGGCGGCGACGACCGCGCCCTGGGCGGCGGCGGCCTGGCAGCGCGCGTCCGCGAACTCGAAGAACTGTTGGAAGCCACGAGGACGGAGCTCGGGCGCAAGAAGGAGAAGCTCGCCGCCGCGGAAGCGACGATCGCAGCGTACGCAAAGATTTACCCGACGTTCGACGCGGACGAACAGCTCTCGAGCGCGGTGTTCTCGCACGTGACGGACGTCCGAACGCGCGTCGCCCTCGCGCAGGTGAACACCGTGTGGCGAAACGCTTCGAAAGTCGCGTCTTCGCTGATGGCCTCGCTCGACTTCACGGGGTGTCCGGACAAGTGGAACGAGAATATGAGTTGGAAGACGAAGTGCGAATACATCCTTGGGATCGAAGGCGTGCTCGATCTGCCCGAAACGCGCTTTCACGCCCTTCTCGAACAGGCCGGGGCTGACTTGTCCAACACGAACGAGCAGTGCAACCTCGGTTTTTTCTACGACAGCTCGAAGCGTTACGACAAGGCGCTGGAGTGGTACATGAAGGGAGCGCGTCAAGGCAGCGAGGTTTGTGAGAATAACATCGGAATTTCCTACAGATTCGGCCAAGGCGTAGAGAAAAATATCGACACGGCGCTGGAATGGTTCACAAAGTCGGCCGAGAAGGATCACGCCGGAGCACAATACGAGGCCGGCGCTATCCACTACGACGAGGGACGATATGAAGAGGCGTTCCAGTGGTTCACGAAATCGGCCGCTCAAGGCGACACTGACGCGACATTAGACCTCGGGGAGTGCTACGAGAAAGGCAACGGCGTGAAGAAGGACATTTCCGAGGCGCTCAAACTGTACGGGAAGGCCATCGAGAAGGGCCACGCTGAGGCGAAAGAAAACCTCCGTCGTCTGGTCGACGCGTTGCCGTGAACATGCGTAGACGCGACGTCTTCGAGTCCGATGATGTAAATGTCGCCATCTACCCCCACCTTCTCTCCCCCTCGCTCTCATCGCAACCTAAACGAGCACCGCGCGCCGTCTAAGCTCAAGAACCGCGTCGCTCAGCTCGATCGGAAACGCGCGCGGCGACCGTCGACTGACGACACACAGAAAAAGTTCTTCCTCTCGACAGCGAGTTATCCGAGAGGACCGCCGTCCTTTCCGCACTTCGTCATGGCGCTCGCGGCGGCGACCGCGCCCGCGGCGTCGTTACGCCCCCCCGCGCGCGTCCAGCGGTGCGCCTCGTCCGTCCTCTCGTCCCTCTCTTCCGCTCCCGCCATCGCGCGCCGTCGCCGCTCCTCGCGCGTCGCGTCGCGTCGCCGCTGACGTCGACGTCATCATCACCGCGTTTCGTTCCGTCGCGCGTTCGCAGGCGCCGTCGCGTCGTCGTCGTCGCCCGCGCGTCCGCGTCCGCGTCCGCGTCCGCGTCGCCCCCTCCCGGCCGCGCGACGTCGCCGCTGTCCCAACCCCCGGCCGACGCCCCCGCGGACCCGCGCGCGGCGCTGCGGGGCGTGATGATCCACCGCGCGTCCGACGGCGAGCTCGTGGACGTCAGGTGCGTTCTCCTTACACTGGTCCCCATACGATCCCGTCGGCGTAGTGAACGCTGATCCTTAAGGACTTTTGCCGTCGTCTCTCTCCTCCCAGGGTCCCTCGCTTTCAATCCCCGGCCTCGATGCCTTTCAACTTCAACTGACGCCTTTCAACTTGCATGGAATGGCCCTCAGCGCGCAGTGGCGCGACGACGACAAGGCGGTCGTCGTCTTTCTTCGATCGTTCGGCTGATTCTTCTGCTGGGAGTTGGCGATACAACTCCGGCGGGACGTGAAGCCGACGTTAGACGCGAACGGCGTGAAGCTCATCGCGGTGTCGATCGGGACGGTCGATCGCGCGAAAGAGTTCGTGAGAGAGACGGAGTTCCCGATCGAGTGCCTGTACGCGGACCCGGAGAATAAGTGCTACGACGCGCTCAGGCGCGTGCTCCTCGCACTGGACTCCATACGACCGCGTTGGCGTTGTGCACGCCGTTCCTTGAGGACTTTATCTCCCGGCGCGCGTTTCTACCCGCTCACCCTTCGATTTCGATCCCCGCCCGCGACGCCTTTCAACTCCATCCCTGACGCCTTTCAACTCCACCCCGACGCGACCCTCAGGCTGAACAAGTCGCTGAAAAACTTCTCGCAGAAATCCACCCCGGAGATGCTCCAGGCGCGGTGGAAGAAAGACGGCGCGAAGGATCTGCGCGAGGTGTTCTCGCACTGGAAGCCGTGGATCCCGCCGAAGCGCGAGCAAGGGTTCCAGCAGGGCGGCGTCTTCGCGTTCGAGGGCGACGAGTGCGTGTACCAATTTTATGACCCGAGCACGGGCGTACACGCGCCGTTCGACGACTGGCTCGTAACGCTCGGCGTCGGGCCGTTAGAGTCCGCCCCGGAGCCGGTCCCGAGGCCAGAGAAGAAGAAGAATGATGCGTGAAGTAAGTATACGACGCGCGGTGTAGTAAAGTAGGTCCCGCGCGGGGGCGCGAGCGAACGGAACGTCCGTCGAAGTCTGGATGACGCGCGCCCGCGTAAAACGCGCTTCGAACGAAGCGCGCCGCGGGCGCGTCGACGACGAAAACGCTTCACGACGGACCGTTATCTCGACGCCCGCGCGATGGGAAGCGCGCAGACGCGCGCGATGACGAATAGAGTAAACGTTAGCGGAGAGAAAGTGAGTTAGAAGCGAGACGCGACGCGGCGCGAGAAGCGAGAGCATCGTCGATTCTCATATAAATTTCATCAGCCCGCCTCGGAGGCCCTGGCTCGCTCGCTCTCGAGTCCCCGCCGTCAGTGCGCGGCACCTTTCGCCGCTTTCTGCTGCGCGACGCGCATCATGTACCTGCGAGGAGGAAACGCGAGGACCGCCGGGAAGGAAAGGTAAACGCGGGGACGTCAGAAGACGCGCGGTGACGGCGCGGCGTTCGATCGATCGCGGTCGTCGTTAGGGATTGATTCGTTCGCTCGCTCGGTCGACCGATCGGTCGATCGGGCGCGGCCCCCGCGACGCACTCTTTGTACTGGCACTTCTCGTACGCGTGCCTCTCGTGGCCGCACTTCCACGGTATGTAATACTCCGCCTTGCGGCACTCGTTCAGGGGGATGAGCAGGTGCGCGCAGAAATCGCGGTGCGCGAGGTCGATCTTCGCGTCCTGCATGTCCTTCTGCGTCGCGACCATCTCGCGTCCTGCTCCGCCCATTTGTGTTTTTCTTCCACGTCTCCTCCGCGCAGAGGGTCTCTCTCCTACTCGCGCGCGCGATCGAGCGGTCGTTCGACGGCGGCGTTCGCGCGGGGAGGCGCGCGCGCGTCTCCGCGGTGGCGACGACGAGCGGCGAGCGGGGCGGGTGGACCCACGCGCGCGTTCGTATGCGAGAAGACGAGGGAGAGACCGTGCGTATGCTTGGTCCCTACTACAGAGACGAAATGCTCCTGTGACCGCGGTCGGTACACCGTGCTGTCCCGGCCCGTTCGCCGGTCAAAGTCTTCTCCCGTTTAGGAAATCCTTTCGCCGCGCGGCGTCGCCGTCGCATTGACGAGCGGCGCCGGGCGGACGCGGACCCGGCCGGCTCTTTCTAGACCGCGAAGAGAGTCTCGACGAACGCGCGAGCGGATTCGGAGTTCGCGCTAGGCGCTCCGAAGCTCGCGCGCCTTAACCGCCTCCGATCTCCGGAGCGCTGGTGGAGGCGTCGAGGTCGAATTTGAGACCGCATCCGCGAGAACGTCGTCAGAGCAAGAGGGGGCTTCCTCGACGTGCGCGCCCGCCGAGCGCGCCGCCGCCGTCGTCGTCCTCCTCCTCCTCCTGACGCGTATCGGGCATCATGGGCGAGGATGACGAGAAGAAGCAGCAGATGGAGGACCCGCAAGACGTCCTCCAGCGATGGCTCATCGCGCGCGTCGTGTCGTCGTTCAAGTGCAAGCCCGAGCAGGGCGACGCGCTGCTCGCGCAGGAGGTGTCCTACGGCGCGATCAATCAGTTCCTCACGGACGTGGAGTGCCCCCGCCTGATGATCATCGCCTCGCCGGACCTCGTCGCGGTGCGCATCGTGCCCGCGCCTCGATTTCTCTGCCGCGGGTCTCCGTCCGCGAGGCGGCGCGCGCGCCGTCCGCGGCGGGCGGCCGATCGTCGACGATCGATCGCTCTCGGATCGAATCCTCAAACGCCCCAAACGGCGATAAAATAAATGATGAAACGATTCGATTCGATCCGCGCCCGCGACGAATCGATCGGTCGATGTATCGATCGGTACATCGATCGATCGATCGACCCCCGCGCGCGATCGCCCGCTCGATCTCCACCCCGCCCCGCCCGACGCCATCGCCATCGCCATCGCCGACGCCGTCCCTCGCCGACCCTGACCCCCCCCGCCCGCCGTCCCTCGACCGACGCGACGAATGACAGACGACGACGCCGCCGGAGAAATTTCGAAAGAAGACGCTGTGTTTCCTCAAGCTCAACCAAGAGGAACTCTCCCCGGAGAACGTCGACCAGGAGGTCATCTACGGCGATTTCGGCGACGTCCCGCTGGAACACCTCAGCGTGCTCGCGCGGGAGGTTTTCCTGCCGATGCTCACAAACCCCCGGAATCAGGTTGGGTGGCCCGAGGTGATCACGCGCGAGGTGGTGGAGAACTTGCACAAGTTCATCGCCAACGTGTACGTGACGATCGGGCAGACGAAGGGCAAGACGCTGCTGCCGCTGCCGCCGGACGACGACGCGAAGCCGTCGACGTCGTCGAGCGCAGGGTCCGCGGCGGGGTCGGATGCGGGCGGGCCTTCGTCGGACACGGATAAGATTCACGTGTTGGAGAGCGCCATCGTGACGTGGACGAAGCAGATCAAGGGCGTGCTGAAGATGGACCCGGAGGCGGCGCTGAAGAGCGGGGAGAACCCCGGGCCGCTCGCGGAGCTGGAGTTTTGGGAGGACAAGGCTGCGAACTTGAACGCGATCCACGAGCAGCTCTCCGGGTCGAAGATTCGCAAAGTCGTCAAGGTGCTGGAGGTTACGAAATCGTCCTACTACCCCGCGTTTCATCGCCTGTGCGGCGAGGTGGCGCACGCGCGCGTCGAGGCGAACGACAACGTGCTGTTCCTCAAGCCGCTGGACAAGTACTTCCAACGGCTGAACATCGGCGACGAGTTCCCGCAGCTAGTGGAGATCTTCAAGCCCATCATGCACGTGGTCCTGATGGTGTGGAAGCACTCGCACCACTACAACACCCCCGGGCGGATCGTCGTGCTCATCCGCGAGATTTGCAACGACCTCATCATGCAGTCGCAGAAGTTTGTCGCGGGGAACGAGATCTTCGAGGCGGAGCCGCCCGAGGCTGTGGAGAAGCTGAAGCAGACGTTGAAGGTGTGCGGCACGTTCAAGTCGTTCTATTTCGACTACAAGTCAAAGACGAACAACGAGACGCCGCAGAACCCGTGGAGGTTTCAAAACTCCGCGCTGTTCAGCCGCCTAGACACGTTCCTCGAGCGCTGCCACGACATCTTAGACTTGACGATGACGGTGCTGCAGTTCAACAAGCTCGAGAGGGTGGAGATTGGCGGCACCAAGGGCAAATCGCTGACGAACAGCGTGCAGCAAGTCTTCGCCGATTTCCAAGAGGCGGTCGAGAAGTTCCACGCCGTGGAGTACGACATCATGGACGTGGACAACAAGCAGTTCGAGAATGACTTCTACGAGTTCCGGTGCGTCATCAAAGAGCTCGAACGGAGACTCGGGTCGATCATCATTCAGGGTTTCGAAGACTGCGTCACCGTCGCGGCTTCGTTCAAGCTGTTCGACAGCTTCGAAGGGCTCCTCGACCGCGAGATCATCGCGACAGATCTGGAAAAGAAACAGATCGAGCTCATGCGTTTCTACGGCGACGACCTCAAGGACGTCTCGGAGATTTTCGCGACGCAGAAGGACAACCCGACGTTGGCGAAGAACTCGCCGCCGCACGCGGGCGCGGTGTCCTGGGTGAGAGGCCTCGTGGCGCGCATAAAGGAGCCGATGGAAAAACTTCAGGGACTGAACAAGCTCGTCACGGAGACGGACGAGAGCAAGGACATCCAGAAGCAGTACGACGTGCTCATGGCGTCGCTGATCGCGTACGAAGAGAACGAGATCAAGCTCTGGAGCGCGGAGGTTGAGGCCACGGGTGAGGAAAAGTTGAAGAAAAATTTGCTCGCGCCGGATGAGAAGGGCGAGATCCCCGGGATCCTCCGCGTGAACTTCGACCCGATGCTCGTCAGACTGCTGCGCGAGGTGAAGTACTTCCTCCTCCTCGGCGTCGACGTCCCGGCGTCCGCGTTGAAAGTCTACGAGAGGTCCGAGACGCTTCGTCAGCAGACGGGTAACCTCGACCTCATCGTCGTGACGTACAACACGATGCTGCGCAACTTGCTCGACGTGGAGAAGCCTCTCGTGGAGAAACGGCTCAAGGTGATCGAAGACGCGCTTCAAAAGGGCATCTCGAAGCTCAACTGGAACTCGCACAAGATCAACGACTACATCCAGGAGGTGATGGGGTTCGTGAAGGAGCTCGACACGATGCTCGAGACGATCAAAGGGAACGTGGAGAAGACGCGTAAGGTGCTTCAGGGCTGGGCGGAGAACTTGATGTTCAGCCGCAAGGAGGGTAAAACGTACGACGTCGAGGAGTTTCAGTCCGCGCAGAAGGACCTCCAGGCGAAGAGAAACGACGAGATTGTCGAGGGCGCGGCGGCGATCACGCGGTACCTCGCGGCGTCGAGCAAAGCGCTCAAGGACATCCCGCGCGCGTCCAAGGCGTGGAAAGACTACGTCGAGTACGTCAACGACATCGTCATCGAGGGTTTCAGCAACGCGATCATGGCGTCCGTGGCGTACGTGAACGAGCAGGTGAACCCGGAGCTGGTGTCGAAGAACGAGACGGTGCCGCTCGTGGAGGTGCAGCTCGAGCTCCAGGCGCCGGACATCTGCTGGAAGCCGGAGATTGGCCAAACCGCGGACGGCGAGGGCGTGCGCGATCGCTTCAACTCGTGGATCGGGAACTTTCAGGCGATCGGGACGCTGATGAAACGCCTGGACATCGGCGAAGGGAACTACACGCTGGAGCTCGAGGAGGATTACAACGTCATGGACGCCATCTCGGCGATTCAAGACGTCGTCCTCGCGAACGAGGCGGAGTGCATCGCGTTCAAGGAGAGCTACACGAAGTACGAGTACCTGTGGAAGACGGACCTCCCGACCGCGCTCGCGACGTTTCTGGAGGAGAACACGAACGCGGAGGAGGGCCAGGACGAGCCGCCGCTGGAGTTATTCGACGAGCAGATCGCGCGGTACAAGGCTGTGCAAGAAGAGATTCAGGCGCTGACGACGACGTCCACGATCGCCTGGGTGAAGGTGGACGCCAAGCCGATGAAGCAGGCGCTCGCGACGTGGATCACGAAGTGGATTTTCCTGTACACGCAGTACCTGTCGAACAAGGTGATCAACAGCATGGACGACCTGTACGCGTTCATGAAGCTCGGAAACACCGTGCTGGACATGGACCCGACGGCCATCGCGGAGCCGTCCGCGGCGACGGAGCCCGCGGAGGACGCGAGCGGCGAGGCCGGCGAGGGCGAGGGCGCCGAAGGTGCCGAAGGTGCCGAGGGTGCCGAAGGTGACGCCGCCGCGCCCGCGCCCGCGGAAAAGAAGGAGAGCGCCGCGGAGAAGAAGCAAAAGATGCTCTACGACATGATGGCGTACATGCGCGACTTGAGGAAACGCGAGGAGAAGACGGACGTCATGTTCGAACCGCTGCAGGCGACGGTTGCTCTGTTGAAGACGTACGGCATCTCCACGTCCGAGGAGGTGCTCAAGCAGCTCGAGGAGGCGCCGCTCGCGTGGAGCGCGCTGAAGAAGAAGATGCTCAACGTCCGCGAGAAGCTGTCGTTGATGCAGCAGCTCGAGGCGCGAAAGATTCGCGAGGAGTCGGACAAGTTTGGAAAGCAGGTGGAGGACTTCCGGACGATGTTCCAGAAGACGGCGCCCGTCACGGTGGCGGCGAGCACGATCAAAGTCGACGACGTGCGACCCGCGTACGACATCCTGGACCACTTCCACCACGGCGAGAAGGACGACAAGTTTATCTTTGGCTCGTTGTCCACCATCGCCACGGAGGCGAGCGCGTTGAATGAAAAGCAAGAGCTCTTCGAGCTGCACGTGAGCGATTACCTCGCGTTGCAACGCAGCGCCGAGGACCTCGCCTTTTTGAAGGCGCTGTGGGACATGGCGTCGTCGGTCATCTTCACGTTTGACAGCTGGAACATCACGCTGTGGAACGCCATCGACGTCGAGTTTCTCATGGACGAGACGAAGAAGCTCGCCAAGGAGGTGAAGATGCTCCCCAAGGGGTGCCGCGCGTACGACTTGTATAAAATTCTGGAGGATCAGGTCAAGGCGCTGCTGACGTCGCTTCCTCTCGTGAGCGAGCTGCATCACCCGTCGATGCGCGAGCGGCACTGGAAGCAGCTCATGAAGGCGACGGGGAGGCACTTCGTGATGGACGACAAGTTCAGCCTCGGCGACTTGCTCAACCTCGAGCTGCACACGTGCGTCGACGCGGTGAGCGAGATTGTCGAGCGCGCGCAAAAGGAGATTGTGATCGAGAAGCAGCTGAAGAAGATCGAGGAGACGTGGTCGGGGTTGAACCTCGACTTCAAGCCGTTCCCGGACAGCGAGGTGTTGAACCTCGTCATCGACGACTTGATCTTGGAGGCGCTCGAGAACGACAACCTCGCGTTGCAAAACTTGGGGGGGTCCAAGTACGTCCAAGGGAACGCCAAGTTCAACGAGATGACCGCGGATTGGCAGAAGAAGCTCGGCACCGTGGACAACGTCCTCAACGTGTGGCAAGACGTCAGCAAAAAGTGGAGCATGCTCGAGTCCGTCTTCGTCGGCAGCGCGGACATTCGCGTCCAGCTCCCGGAGGACTCAAAGCGCTTCGACGGCATCAACGCGGACTTCCAGGCCATCATGCGCGACGCCCCCGACGTGTTGAACTGCGTCGAGGCGTGCAACATGGACGGCAGACTGGAACGTCTCGAGGTCATGCTCGGTCTCCTCGAGCAGTGCGAGAAGGCGCTGCAGGACTACCTCGAGACGAAACGCATCGCGTTCCCGCGTTTTTATTTCGTCGCCCCCGCGGACCTTCTGGACATCCTCTCGAAAGGGACCAACCCGCAGCTCATCCTGCGTCACCTCTCGAAGTGCTTCGACAACGTCCACAACATGTCCTTCCTCGAGGACGAGAAGGGGAACCCGTCGAAGAACGCCATCTCGATGTGGTCCGGGGAGAACGAAAACGTCGCCTTCAAGGAGCCGTGCATCTGCGACGGTCCCGTGGAGACGTGGCTCGGCGCCGTCGTCGACTCGATGCGCGAGGCGCTATTCGTCGAGTTTGAAGCCTCCGCGCCCAAGTACGACGAGATGCCGCGCGTGAAGTGGATGTTTGAGCAGTCGGCGCAAAACACGATCACGGTGTCGCGCATGATTTTCACGCAAGAGATCAACGAGGCGTTCGATCAGCTCGAGGAAGGGAACGACAACGCGGTGAAGGACATGTGGCAGAAGCAGGTGGATCAGCTCGCGGGCCTCATCGAGGTTGTCAACGGGAAGCTCGAGAAGCTGGACCGGAAGAAGGTGCTGACGTTGTGCACCATCGACGTGCACGCGCGCGACGTGTGCCAAAAACTCCTCGACGAACGCGTCGACGTCGGCAGCGCGTTCCAGTGGCAGTCGCAGCTGCGGTACGGCGTCCACGAGAAGACGGGGAAGCTCATGATTTACGTCTGCGACGCGGAGATTCCGTACATGTACGAGTACATCGGGTCCCCGGGGTGCTTAGTCATCACCCCGCTCACGGATCGGTGCTACATCACGCTGACGCAAGCGCAGAGGCTCGTCCTCGGCGGCGCCCCCGCGGGCCCCGCGGGGACGGGCAAGACGGAGACGGTGAAGGATCTCGGTCGCGCGCTCGGCATTCAGGTGTACGTCTTCAACTGCTCCGATCAGATGGATTACAAGGCGATGGGGCAGACGTACAAGGGCTTGGCGCAGACTGGCGCGTGGGGCTGCTTCGACGAGTTCAACCGCATCCCGGTGGCGGTGTTGTCCGTGTGCTCGACGCAGTACAAGACGGTCCTCGACGCGATTCGCGCGAAGAAGTCGCAGTTCATGTTTGAAGACGTGGAGATTTCGCTGCGCCCGTCCACGATGGCGTTCATCACGATGAACCCCGGCTACCCCGGTCGCGCGGAGCTCCCGGAGTCGCTCAAGGCGCTGTTCCGACCGGTGTCCATGTGCGTCCCGGATCTGCAGCTGATTTGCGAAAACATGCTCATGGGCGAGGGGTTCTTGCAGTCCAAGATTCTCGCGCGCAAGTTTGTGATTCTCTACAAGCTCTGCGAGGACTTGCTCTCCAAGTCGGCGCACTACGACTGGAAGCTACGGGCAATCAAGACGACGCTCTACGTCGCCGGCGGTCTCAAGCGCGACCAGCCGCACCTCTCCGAGGACAAGGTGCTTCTGCAGGCGCTTCGCGATTTCAACCTCGGGAAGCTCACCGCGGACGACCACGGCATCTTCATGGGTCTCCTTAACGATCTCTTCCCCAAGATGCTCGACCAAGTCCCGCGTCAGCGGAACGAGTCGTTCGAGGATAAGATTGTGAAGTCCGCGGTGGAGCTCGGGTACCAGCCCGAGGAGGCTTTCGTGTTGAAGATCACGCAGCTCCGCGAGATTTTCGGCGTGCGGTGGTCCGTGTTCCTTCTCGGCCCCGCGGGGTGCGGTAAAACCGCCGTGTGGCGGACGTTACTTCTCGCGCAAAACAAGTACGGCGAGAAATCGCGCGCGGTGCCGGTGAACCCCAAGGCGGTGTACCGCAACGAGCTCTACGGATTCCTCCACCCGTCCACGCGCGAATGGAAGGAGGGGCTGATGTCCGTGACGTTCCGCGACATGTCGAACAACAAGGTGTACATCAATCAGTGGATCGTCCTCGACGGCGACATCGACGCGGAGTGGATCGAGTCCATGAACACGGTGATGGACGACAACAAGATGCTCACGCTCGCGTCGAACGAGCGCATCCCGCTGACGAACTCGATGCGACTTTTGCTCGAGATCAACCACATGGTGCACTGCTCCCCCGCGACGGTGTCTCGCGGCGGCGTGATTTACTTGAACCAGGACGACATCGGCTGGCAGCCGATGGTGGAGTCGTGGATCCAGTCGCGCGAGGCGGTGGACTACCGCCCGCTTCTCGTCGAGCTGTTCGATCGCTACCTGGAGAAGTCTCTGGAGCACTGCCGGAGAAACTTCCGGACGATCGTGCCGCTCGTGCCGATGAACATCGCGGGCACGGTGTGCAAGATTCTCGAGGGAATCATCCCGTCTGAGAACGTCCGCGGGCAGAAGCCGGACAAGAAGCTCCTCGAGGCGCAGTTCGTCTTCGCGTGCGTGTGGGCCCTCGGCGGCGCGATGCTCGTGGACAAGGTGGTGGACTTCCGCCTGCAGTTCCACAAGTGGTGGATCAGCGAGTGGAAGGAGGTGCTGTACCCCGAGGGCGGCTTGGTGTTCGATTACTACGTTAACGACGAAGCGCAGATGACGCCGTGGACGGATAAGGTTGAGGGCTACGGCTACAACCCGTCCGAGGCGTTCGCGAACATCTTCGTGCCGAGCGTGGACAGCACGCGCCTGTCGTATTTCCTGAACAGCTTCATCAAGAACAAGCACTACTGCATGTTCGTCGGAAACGCGGGCACGGGAAAAACCGCGCTCATGCGCGAAAACTTGAAGAACCTCGACGCCGAGGCGTGGACCTTCTCCACGGTGAACATGAACAACTTCATGGACGCGCCCGCGCTGCAGGTCATCTTGGAGCAACCGCTCGAGAAGAAGTCCGGCGTGCGCTTCGGCCCGCCCGGCGCGCGTCGCCTCGTGTACTTTTTCGACGACATCAACATGCCCTTCGTGGACAAGTACGACACGCAGACGCCCATCGAGCTCGCGCGTCAAAACATCGACTACCGCGGCTGGTACGACAAGAACAAGATCGTCCTCAAGGAGGTGCTCAACTGCCAGTACATGGCGGCGATGAACCCCACCGCGGGGTCGTTCAACATCACGCCGCGCATGCAGCGTCACTTCGTGACCTTCGCGGTGCAGATGCCGTCGAAGGACGCGGTGCGATCGATGTTTTCGCAAATCATCGACGGCCACCTGATGGAGTTTGACAACGACATCCAGAAAAAGGCGGCGGCGCTCGCGGACGCGTCGATCGAGATTCACTCGCTCGTCGCGAACACGTTTTTGCCCTCCGCGGTGAAGTTTCACTACCAGTGGAACCTGCGCGAGCTGTCGAACATCTGCCAGGGCATCTGCCGCGCGATTCCGGAGTTTTACACCAACCCCGTGACCATGGCGCGCCTGTGGATCCACGAGTGCGAGCGCATATTCTCCGACCGCATGGTGGCGCAGGCGGACATCACCAAGTTTGACGAGATGCGCGTCCTCGTGACGAAGAAGTACTTCAGCGACCTCGAGATGGAACAAGTCGAGGCGCGCCCGGTGTCCTACAACGCGTTTCAGCAGTTTGACAACAACGACGAGGGCGCGTACTGCGCGTGCGCGTCGTACGAAAAGCTGAACAAGACGCTCGTGGAAAAGCTCGCGGAGCACAACGAGTCCAACCCGGTGATGGACCTCGTGCTCTTCAACCAAGCCATGGACCACGTGACGAGAATCACGCGCATCTTGAACCTCCCGAGAGGGAACGCGATGCTCGTCGGCGTCGGCGGCAGCGGGAAGCAATCGCTCGCGAAGCTCGCGACGTTCATCTGCCAGTACGACGTGTTCCAAATCTCCGTGACGTCTTCGTACGGCATCGTCGACTTCAAGACGGATCTCCTCGGGTTGTACACGAAGGCGGGCGTCAAGGGGACGCCGGTTACGTTTTTGATGACGGATTCGCAGATCGTGAACGAGCGCTTCTTGGTGTACATCAACGACCTCCTCTCGAGCGGGTTCATTCCCGACCTCATGACCCCGGAGGACAAGGAGAACATGTGCAACGCGGTACGGAACGAGGTGAAAGCCGCGGGGATCGTGGACACGAATGAAAACTTGTGGGACTTTTTCATCGACAAGGTTCGCAAGTACCTGCACGTGTGCCTGTGCTTCTCCCCCGTCGGCGACAAATTCCGCGTGCGCGCGAGAAACTTCCCCGCGCTCATCAACTGCACCGTCATCGACTGGTTCCAGCCGTGGCCGCACGAGGCGCTCGTCTCCGTCGCCGGGCGGTTCCTCGCGGACGTCCCGAACATCGACGAGGCGCTGTTGGAGAACTTGCAGTTCCACTGCGCCTTCACGCACATGGCGGTCAACGACGCGTCAGGCGCGTACTTCAACGAGGACCGACGCTACAACTACACGACGCCCAAGTCGTACCTGGAGCTCATCTCGCTGTACAAGTCGATGCTCGATCAGAAGCGACTCGACTTAAAACACGCCAAGGAACGTCTGGAGAATGGGGTGGACAAGATCGCGCAGGCGTCCGCGCAAGTCGCGGACCTTCAGGCGAACCTGAAGGAGGAGCAGGTCATCGTCGAGGAAAAAAAGGCCAACACCGACGCGCTCATCGTCAGCATCGGCCAAGAGAAGGCGATCGTCGACGAAGCCGTCGAAGCCGGCAGCGCGGACGAGGCGGAGTGCGCGGCGATCGCGGAGGAAGTCTCCGCGTTCCAGGCTGAGTGCGAGGAAGATTTGAAAGCCGCGGAGCCCATCATCCAAGCCGCCGAGGCGGCGCTGAATTCGCTGGATAAAAAGTCGCTGGGCGAGCTCAAGTCCTTCGGCTCTCCCGCCGCGGAGGTTGTTCAGGTGGCGTCGGCGTGCATGGTGCTCACCGCCCCGGGCGGGAAGATCCCGAAAGATCTCTCGTGGAACGCCGCGAAGAAGTCGATGGGCTCGGTGGATAAGTTCCTCAACGACCTCATCAACTTCGACAAGGACAACACCCCGGAGAATTGCGTCGAGAAGTGCGAGAAGGATTACCTCTCCAACCCCAACTTCAACCCGGAGTACATCGTGAACAAGTCCGGCGCCGCCGCCGGCTTGTGCGCGTGGGTCGTGAACATCTGCAAGTACTTCCGCATCTACCAAGTCGTCGCGCCGAAGCGCAAGCTCCTCGCGGAGGCGAACGCGAAGCTCGACGCGGCGAACAAGAAGCTCGCGGGGATTCGCGCCAAGGTGAAGGAGCTCCAAGACAAGGTGGCGGCGCTGGAAGATAACCTCATGAAGGCGACGGAGGATAAGAACGCCGCCATCGCGCAGGCGGAGAAGACGCAGAATAAAGCCAACCTCGCGGACCGCCTCGTGAACGGGCTGTCCGGAGAGAACAAGCGTTGGGGCGCGGCGATCGAGCAGTTTGGCGTCCAGGAGACGAAGCTCGTCGGCGACGTCCTCGTCGCGTCGTCCTTCGTCTCCTACGCCGGCGCGTTCAACTCCAAGTTTCGTAAATTTCTCGTCGAAGAAAAGTGGCTGCCGGATCTCATCGAACGCGAAATTCCGATGACGCAAGGGATCGTGCCGCTGGACGTCCTCGCGACCGCGGGACAGATGGCGCAGTGGGGCATCGAGGGCTTGCCCACGGATCCGCTGTCGATCGAAAACGGCGCCATCATGAGCTCCGCCGCGCGGTGGTCGCTCATGATCGACCCGCAGCTTCAGGGCATCCGATGGATCAAAGAAAAGTGGGGCGATAAACTTAAGATCATCCAGCTGTCCAAGGCGAACTACATCAACGACGTCGAGCACTGCATCGAGAACGGGATCCCGCTGATGATTGAAAACTTGCAGGATGACATCGACGCGGTGCTGGATCCGGTGGTGGCGCGTCAGACGACGCGACGCGGGCGCAACGTCGTGATGAAGCTCGGCGACAAAGAGGTGGACTACGACCCAAACTTCAAGCTGTACCTGCAGACGAAGCTGTCGAACCCGCACTACAAGCCCGAGATCGCGGCGCAAGCGACGCTGGTGAACTTTTGCGTCACGGAGAAGGGTTTAGAGGACCAGCTCTTGGCGCTCGTCGTGTCCAAAGAACGCGCGGATTTGCAGCAGCAGTCGTCGGACCTCGTCCGACAGCTCGGCGAGTACACCGTGCAAATCACGCAGCTCGAAGACAACCTCCTCGTGCGTCTCTCCAACGCGCAGGGCGATATCCTGGAGGACATCGAGCTCATTGAAAACCTCGAGGAGACGAAGCGCACCGCGACGGAGATCGCCGAGAAGGTGATCCAAGCCAAAGAGACGCAAAAGATCATCGACGTGACGCGAGACGTCTACCGCCCCGTCGCCGCGCGCGGCGCGTTGCTCTACTTCCTCGTCGACGTCCTCAACGTCCTCGACCGCGTGTACCAGTACTCCATGGCGAACTTTGTGTACATATTGAAGAAGGGCATGGACGTCTGCCCCGGCGGCGCGGACAACACGCACGTGCCGCCGGATAAGCGGCTCGCGGAGCCGCTCCCCGTGGAGAAGCGCGTCGAGGCGCTCATCGAATCGGTGTCGTCGCAAGTCTTTGGGTACATCGCGAGCGGTCTCTTCGAGCGGCATAAGCTCATCGTCGCCGCGCAGCTCACGATGAGCGTCCTGAAGAAGCAAGGGAAGCTCCCGGCGCAGCAGTTTGACTGGCTGTTGCGCGGGCCGCGCGTCGCGGGGGTGGAGAATCCGCTCGAGGAGTGGATCGCGCAAGGCAACTGGGAGTGCATCCAGTCGTTGCAAGAGCTCGACGGCTACGGGCAACTGCCTGGGGATCTTCAAGGGTCTGCGAAGCGCTGGCGCGAGTGGATGGAGCTCGAGCGACCGGAGGAGGAGCCGATGCCGGGGGATTGGAAGAAGATGGAGGATTTCGAGAAGCTGCTGTTGTTCCGCGCGCTGCGGCCGGATCGGATGTCCAACGCGTTGTCCACCTTTGTCAAATCCGTCATCGGACAGAGGTACGTCACGTCGGCGGCGTTCGACCTCGCGGAGTCGTACAAAGATTCCGCGCCGGGGACGCCAATCTTCATCTTCCTCTCCCCGGGCGTCGACGTCGCCGCCGCGGTGGAAGCGCTCGGTCTCAAGCTTGGGTTTTCGTCCGAAAACGGTCGCTACGCCGCCGTTTCGCTCGGACAAGGCCAAGAGCCGATCGCGATGAACAACCTGCAAAACTTCCACAAAAACGGCGGCTGGCTGCTGCTCCAAAACATCCACCTCACGATCGACTGGACGAACGGCCCGCTGGAGAAGACCGTGGACAAGCTCGCGGAGGGCGCGCACGCCGACTTCCGGCTGTTCCTCTCCGCGGAGCCGCCGCCGAGCCTCGAGCGCGGCATCGCCATCTCTCTCCTGCAAAACTCCATCAAGCTCACGAACGAGCCCCCGGAGGGCATGAAGCAAAACCTCATGCGCGCGTACGGCAACTTCAACGAGGAGATGTTCGAGGCGGCGTCCAAGCAGGGCGAGTTCAAGGCGATCATCTTCGCGCTGTGTTACTTCCACGCCGCGATTCTCGAGAGGAAGAAGTTTGGCGTCGGGAACATGCCCGACGCCGCGTCGGGCATCGGCTGGAACATGAATTACCCGTTCAACACGGGCGACTTGCTCTGCTGCGGCCAGTGCGTGAACAACTACCTGGAGAACAACACCAAGGTGCCGTGGGACGACCTGAAGTACATCATCGGAGAGATCATGTACGGCGGGCACGTCGTCGAGGACTGGGACAGGAGGACAGTGGAGATGTACCTCGAGTCGTACCTCCGAGAGGAACTCCTCGAGGGGATCGAGTTTTTCCCGAAATTCACCACGCCGCCGTCCAATCTGAACCACCGGCAGACGATGGAGTTCATCCAAGAGACGTTCCCGACCGAGTCCCCGCTCGCGTTCGGGCTGCACCCGAACGCGGAGATCGGGTTCAAGCTCCGAGAGGCGGAGCTCCTGTGCTCGTCCATCTTGTCGCTGCAGCCTCGCGACGGCGGCGGCGAGGAGGGCGCGTCGGTGGAGGACCAAGCCAAGATGGTGCTCGACGACCTCGTCGAGCGGCTCCCCGATCAGTTCGACATGGAAGACATCCGCTCGCGCACGGACGACATCACGCCGTACATCATGGTCGCGATCCAGGAGTCGGAGCGCATGAACGTGCTGCTCGCGGAGATGAAGCGTAGCCTCGCGGAGCTCGACCTCGGCTTGAAGGGCGATCTGACAATGTCGGATCCGATGGAGACGCTTATGAACGCGCTCGCCAACGGCTCCGTCGCCGGCGGCTGGGCGAAGCTCGCGTACCCGAGCCTCCGGTCGTTGTCGTCGTGGATCTTTAACCTTCTGCAGCGCGTGGAGCAGCTCAACCTGTGGACCGCGGACTTGAACCTGCCGAAGGTTGTGTGGCTATCGGGGCTGTTCAACCCGCAGTCGTTTTTGACGGCTGTCATGCAGACGACGGCGCGTCGCAACGACTGGCCGCTGGACAAGACGGTGGTGTTGACGGAGGTGACGAAGAAGACGGTGGACCAGATCGAGGCGGTGAGCAGAGAAGGCGCGTACATCCACGGGCTCACGCTGGAGGGGTGCCGATGGGACGAGAAGATTGGCGTGCTGGAAGAGAGTCGCCCGAAGGAGATGTTTTGCCCGATGCCCGTGATCACCATTCGCGCCGTCACGGTGGACAAGGCTGAGATGAAGGACGCGTACCAGTGCCCGGTGTATAAGACAGAGCGGCGGTTCAGGGAAGAAGTTTTCACCGCGCAGCTCAAGTCGAAACACGGGCAGATCAAGTGGACGCTGTGCGGCGTGTGTTTGTTTCTGGACGTGGTCTAAGATGGATGGAGGGACGCAGACGCGTCTTCAAAACCCAAAAAAAAAAAATCAAAGAGACGGTAGACGGAGGAAAGGAAAAAAACCGGAAGAGACGCGTCCGTCGCGCCGCCGTTCAGTCGGCGGGCGACGCCGCGGCGGGAGGCTCGGTGTCATTCGTAACCAGCCTTCGGCAAACGTCGCGGCGACGCCACGCGGGGGTCGCGTCTCTCAGTAGAAGATAACTTAATTAGCTCGAAGTATTTGTGATAAACCCAAGTACGCCTTCCTCAACAATAAGATGCGCGTTCTATCTCACACTGGTCCCCATACGACCCCGTCCGCGTGGTGAACGCTGATCCTTAAGGACTTTGTCGAAGAGCGCCTCGCTCGCGTCACAGCCCCTTCGGCTTCGGCGGTTTCCGTCCCTTTCGCGTTCGCTCGCCGCCCGCGATCGTCAGGTTCTTCTGGTAGTTTTCCGAGTCGACCGACTTTTGCGATCGCTCCCGCGCGCCTCCATCATCTCCGCCTCCTCCTCCACCTCCTCCTCCTCCGCCGCCGCCGCCGCCCTCGCTGCCCTTCACGAACGCGAACGCGGCGAGCGGGACGACGATCGCGAGGAACGCGAGCGGGTTGACGCCGCCGCCGCCGTCGTCCGCGAGCGCCGCGCCGGCGAAGAGAAGGTTCGCGCCCGCCGCGACGAGCGTCGTCGTCGTCGTCGTCGTCGTCGTCGTCGTCGCGGACGCGCGCGAGAGCGCGACCGCGTCCGCCGGCGCTTCTCTTCTTCTTCTCCGCGGCGCCGTCGCGTCGGACGCGGCGACGGTCGCGACGCGCGCGCGACGCGCGGGCGGCGCGCGCGGCTGCGATCGGGTGGGATCGAGTGGCGGGGACGTCGGCGGGTCGGACTGGGGGACTGGATTGGATTCGGACGACGAGAGGAGCGAAAGCATTCATCGGACGTTCTCGTCGCTCGCGCACCTTGCGATCGAGGCGCACGACGCGCGCGGCGACGCACGCGAGCGATGCCATGTCGTGTGCGCGAGGACGCGAGGGGGGGGGGGGGGTTGGGGACGGACGCGGCGCGGGCGACGCGGCGCGCGGTGTCAATGCCGCGCGCGACGTCCCCGCCCGCCGAGAAAAAAAAACCTCCGACGCGACGGAAAATCCGAGTCATCACTTCAGCGCCCCGTGGCGCGCTAACGAGCCGCGAGCGCCGACCCTAGCTAGCTAGCTAGGCCTATCTGCTATGCTCGCAACGTGCGCGGTTCCAGGGCGACCGCGCTCCGCGGTCAGAGCCACGCGCGCGACGATGTCGATGTCGTCGATCGCGCCCAGCGCGTCTCCGCGCATCGCGCCGCCGTCCGCGGCGTCGTCGCGTCGCCGAGCGCCCGCGACGCGCGTCGACGCGAGCGCGCGCGTCGTCGGAGGCGGCGTCCCCGCGCGTCGCCGTCATCCTCATCGCAACGGCACTTCGTCGTCGATCTCGTCGCTTCCGAGCCGCGTCGATCGACGCGGCGATCGCGCGACCGCGCGCGCGCTCGACGCGCTGGATTCCGTCGGGAGCCTCGTCGGCATCGGCGCGGGCGTCGTCGCGCTCGCGTTCGCCGCGGGCGCCGCGAACGGCGGCGGCGCCGCGGGCGGCGCCGACGCCGACGCCGACGCCGACGCCGACGCCGCGCGGGGCGGCAGGACCGGCTCCGGCAGAACCGGCGCGCAGGTCAGCGGGAAGCAGACGATCGCCGGCGGCGTCGCGGGCGCGAACAACCCGAAGAAGAAGAAGCAGATGCCGGGGATGCCGGTCAAGCCGAACAAGAAGGCGAGCGGCGGCGGCAAGAAGAAGAAGAAGGGCGACGGCGACGGACTCGGCGTCGGCGGCATGATGAACGTCTTAGATTCGATAAAAAAAGGCGCGCCCGCGGTCCCGGGTCTGAGCAAGATGAACGCGCAGCGGTACGCGTGGGGCGCCGCGGAAGCGACCGGCCCGAGGGAGTACATGGAAGACGCGTGGGTCGTCAAAGAGACCGGCCTCGGCGGCGGGTATTTCTTCGGTGCGCGCGCGCTATTTATTACCGCGCCGGTCTACCCCGCGCTTCCGCGTCCGCGCGGCGCGCCCTTTCTCACCCGGCGCGCGTCACTCTCCGCCCATTCTCTCCTCGCTCACAATCCCGACGCACCTCGACGCCTTTCAACTTCACCCGCCTGACGCCTTTCGACCTCCCTCACCCCCACAGCGAGCGTCATGGACGGTCACGGCGGCGCCGCGTCGAGCGCGTACCTCCGCGAGAACCTCTTCTCGCTCCTCGACGAAAAGATCCCTAAGTTTGGCGCGGGCGAAGGCACCCCGGGTGCCGTCCCCGACGGCACCCCCGACGGCGGCTACCTCGCCAAGTCCCTCAAGACGGGCTTCGACGCCGCGGACGAGTCGCTCATCGATCACATCGCGCGCCTCGGCGAGCCCGAGTGCTGGAGCGGCAGCACGTGCACGAGCGTCCTCGTCCGCGACGACCGCGTCGTCGCCGCCAACGTCGGCGACTCGCGCGCGGTGCTCATTCGAAAGGTAAGGCACACTGGTCCCCATACGACCGCGTCGGCGTGGTGAACGCCGATCCTTAAGGACTTTCTCTCCCGGCGATCGTCTCTCTCCGCCCAGGGTCCCTCGCTCACGATCCCGACGCGCCTCGACGCCTTGATTCAACACCGCTTCTGACGCCTTTCAACTCCACCCCGACGTCGCCTCGTATGGACCCTCGACCCTCAGGGCAAGGCGTTGGAGTTGACCGCGGATCATCGACCGCTGGGGAGCTCGGTCACGGGAAGGCAGGAGATGGATCGGATCACGCGCGCGGGCGGGTGGTCCGTCGGCGGACGCGTCTGCGGCATCCTCGCGGTGTCGCGCGCCTTTGGGGATTACGAGTTCAAGGTGCGTTCTATTACCACACCGGTCCCCATACGACCCCGTTCGCGTGGTGAACGCCGTTCCTTAAGGACTTTCTCTCCCGGCGATCGTTTCTCTCCGTCCATCACCCCTCGCTTTCAATCCCGACACACCTCGACGCCTTTCAACTCCGCTTCTGACGCCTTTGAACTGACGCCTTTCAAAAAAGGGCGGACGGTTCGACCTCCTGAACGACCTCAGCGAGGAGCCGCTGGCGAAGAAAGCGACGCTCGCGGAGCCGCCGGTGGTGCCCACGCCGGCGGTGAAGGAGATCGCGCGCGACGCCGAGACGGACGAGTGGCTCGTGATCGCGTCTGACGGGCTGTGGGACACGGTTAACTCCACCGCGTGCGCGACGTTCATCTCGCAGGAGTGCAAGAAGAACCCGGGGATGCGCGCGGACGCCCTCGCGGACGCGCTCGTGAAGCGCGCGATTCGGTTCCGGACGCAGGATAACGTGTGCGTCGTCGTGGTGGACTTGCGACGGAAAGAAGCCGCGACCGCCGCGTGATGAGCGCGACGCGCGAAGGACGGAGGGAGGGAGGGAGGAGGGAGGAGAGCGAGCGACGCGACGCGACGCGACGCGACGGATCGACGGAGAACGAACGACGGGCGGCGCGTCGAGCGCGAGTATTATCAACTACACTAACATCAGCGAACGACACGGATCGCGTCTCGTCTCGTCCCGTCGCGCGGTGGGGCGCCCTAATTATGAGCTACGGATAGATCTACCGCGGACGTTCGGTTCGTCCGGTCTCGCGACGGACCGACGTCTTCCTAATACACTGGTCCCCATACGACCCCGTCGGCGTGGTGAACGCCGATCCTTAAGGACTTTACGATCGGCGTCACGAATTCATCATGGCGTACGTCGCCGTGAGCGCCGCCCCCACCGTCAGCCCGAGCGCGATCGCGTCGTCGCTCAACTCTATGAACGGTTTCCGCGGCGGCGGCGGCGCGAGCGCCGCCTCTCTCGCGCGACGCTCCTCCTCCGCCTTGGCCTTCGCGGCCTCGATCCTCTGCCTCCGCGTTTTAAGGTGCGCGTGTTCCTCGTCGCGGAAGAACTGCGACTCGGATTGCCGCGCGACGACGCGCGGCTCCGCGAGCGTCTTCCGCGAGAGGTCGTCCCCGCCGATCGCGCGCGTCCAACGCGCGCACGACGCGGGGGGGGAGGAGGAGGAGAAGGTCGACGACGACGACGACGCGAGTCGCGAGGACGCGCGGCGAAGCATCGCGCGAGAAGTTCTGTCGAGCGCGCGGCGGTCATCGGGTCGAACCTGTAGCGATTTCATCGCGTCGCTGAAAGGATTGAAAGGTCCTCGGTACGAACCCGGGTTGAATAGTCCTTTTCATCGCGTATCGAGGTATATTGCGAAAGGTCCTCGGTACGAACCCGGGTTGAATAGTCCTTTTCATCGCGTCGCTGCGCTTTTGGTACTGTATATTGCGAAAGGTCCTCGGTACGAATACAGTAGTCCTTTCCATCGCGTCGCTGCGCTGTCGCTCAACACGCGAAAGGTCCTCGGTACGAACCCGGGTTGATCGGCGGGGATTTCTCTCGATCGCTTTTTTATCCGGGGCGCGAGTCGAGGGTTCCGTGACATCCGCCACCGCGCGAGCCCCCCCACCCGCGCGCGTCTCGCAAGATGATGCACGCCGCCGTCTCGACGACGACGACGACGACGACGACGACGACGACGACGCACGCGGCGCCCGCGATCGGTCGCCGCGTCGCGCGTCCCCGCGCCGCCGCCGCCGCCGCGTCGTCGTCGTCGTCGCCTCGAGGGCGACGGCAATGTCACCCGAGGGTTTCGGCGCGGCATCGCCGACCGAGTCATCATCCCTTCTCCTCCTCCGCGCCGGTTCACGTCCACCACCGCCACCACCACCACCGCGGCGCGTCGACGCGCGTCCCCAACGCGGTGTCCCCGCCGGGCACCGAGGAAGAGATCGACGACGCGTTCACGCCGCAGCAGCTCGGCTTCAAGGACATCGTCTCGCTGTGGGTCACGCAAATCTTACAGGCGCGTTCTATGTCACACTGGTCCCCATACGACCGCGTCCGCGTGGTGAACGCCGATCCTTAAGGACTTTTCCCGTCGTCTCTCTCCGCCCATCCCTCGCTTTCAATCCCCGCCCTCGACGCCTTTCAATTCCGCTTCTGACGCCTTTCAACTCCACCCCGACGTTCGCTCGTATGGAACGACCCTCACAGACGTACGGAGACGAGGAGAGCAAAGACGGCGCGCCCGTCTGCGAGGGCTCCGTGGACGACCTCGTCGGCGGGCCCATCTTCCTCGCGCTGTACCCGTACTTTCTGAAGTACGGCGGCGTCTTCAAGCTCGCGTTCGGGCCCAAGGTGTTCATGGTGTTGTCCGACCCGGTCATCGTCAGGCGCGTTCATATTATTCACTCTGGTTCCCATACGACCGCGTCGGCGCGGCGGCCGCCGATCCTTAAGGACTTTTGCCGCCCGGCGTTCGTTTCTGTCCGCGCACGCCTCGCTGGTTTCAATCTCCGCCCTCGACGCCTTTCAACTCCGCTTCTGACGCCTTTCAACTCCACCCCGACGTCGCTTCGCGTGGACGGAATCGGAATCGAATCGCGAATCGCCCTCGTCGTCGTCGTCAGAGAGGTGCTCAAGGAGAAGCCGTTCGCGTTCAGCAAGGGCGTCCTCGCGGAGATCCTCGAGCCCATCATGGGCCAAGGGCTGATCCCCGCGCCGTACGCGGTGTGGAAGAACCGCCGCAGGCAGCTCGTCCCGGGGTTCCACAAGGCGTGGCTCGATCACATGGTCGGTTTGTTCGGCGACTGCTCCGCGCAACTCGTGAAGAACTTGGGCGCGTCCCATCTCACACTGACTGGTCCCCATACGACCCCGTTCGCGTGGTGCACGCCGATCCTTAAGGACTTTCTCTCCCGGCGCGCGTTTCTCTCCGTCCATCACCCCTCGCTTTCAATCCCGCCGCGCCGCGACGCCTTTCAACTCCACCCCTGACGCGCTTTGAACGATGATTTGGCCTCGATCAGACGCGTCCATCGCGGCGGGGAACGGCGTCGCGCGGATCGACATGGAGGAGCGCTTCTGCTCCGTGTCGCTCGACATCATCGGGCTCGCGGTGTTTAACTACGACTTCGGGAGCACGACGCGGGAGTCGCCGATCATCAAGGCGGTGTACACGTGCCTGCAAGAAGCCGCGCACCGGTCGACGTTTTATTTCCCGTATTGGAACATCCCGTTCATGTGCGACATCGTCCCACGGCAGAGGGAGTTCAAGGCGAACATGAAGCTGATCAACGACACCCTCAACGGGCTCATCACGCAAGCGCAGCAGTTCGAGGGGACGGAAGATTTGGAAGAGCTACAGAACCGCGATTACTCCAAGGTGAAGGACCCGAGTCTCTTGCGGTTCCTCGTCGACATCAGAGGCGCGGACGTGACCGATTTGCAACTGCGAGACGACCTCATGACGATGCTCATCGCGGGCCACGAGACGACCGCGGCGGTGCTGACGTGGTGCCTGTTCTGTCTAGTGCGGGACAAACCTCTGATGAAGAAAGTCGTGGAGGAGATCGACTCCGTGATGGGTCCCGTCGCTGAGGAAGCGCGAGCGCCGAATTACGAAGAGATCCAAAAGCTCGAGCTCGTGCGCCTGTGCCTCGCGGAGGCGCTGCGTCTCTACCCGGAGCCGCCGATCTTGATCCGGCGGTGTTTAGAGGACGTCCCGCTGCCGAAGGGCGCGGGCGACGCGGACGTGACGCTGATCAAAGGCATGGACGTGTTCATCTCGGTGTGGAACTTACACCGGCACCCGGACTGTTGGGAGGAGCCGTTAAAGTTCGACCCGTTTAGGTTCAAAAAGCCGTATTCGAACCCGGGGGTGAAGGACTGGGCGGGGTACAACCCGGACTTGATCAGCGGGATGTACCCTAACGAGGTCACGAGCGATTTCGCGTTCGTGCCGTTCGGCGCGGGCGCGAGAAAGTGCATCGGCGATCAGGCGCGTTCATGTTTACACTGGTCCCCATACGACCGCGTTGGCGTGGTGAACGCCGATCCTTAAGGACTTTTGCCGCGCGTGTTTCTCTCCTTCCTTCCCACGCTCTCAATCCCGACACACCTCGACGCCTTTCAACTCCGTTTCTGACGCCTTTCACCTCCATCCCGACGTCGCCTCGTGTGGGCGATTACCCTCAGTTCGCGATGCTGGAGGCGACGAGCTGCCTCGCGATGACGTTGCAACGGTACGACTTCGAGTTGGATAAGGACGCTGCGGAGGTTGGGATGGAGATGGGGGCGACGATTCACACCGCGGGGGGGTTGCCCATGAGGGTGACGCGACGGAAGTAGTCGTAGTCGGTCGGTCATCGGCGACGAGGGTACCGTCTAATAGAGCGGACGGCGTTTGGTTTCGTAGTCTATGATGATAAAACGGTGAACCTTTTTTTTTTCCTTCTGTTATCCGTTGCGTCTCGGACGAGCCGAAACGCGGCGCGCGGCCGCGGCGTGTCGACCGGTCCGCCGCGCGCGGGCCGCCGCGCGCAGAACAGCCGCCGCCGCGCGCGCCGACGAACGCACGCGTCGATCGCGGCCCGGCGTCATGCCCCCCGCGCGCGAGTCTTCGCGTGCGTCCTCGTCCTCGTCCTCGCGTTGCCTCTCGCGACCGTCGCGCGTGAAGAAGGCGGCCGCGCGTCGTCGTCGTCGCTGAAACCCTCGGCGACGACGACGCGCCAGACCGGAACAACGACGACGACGACGACGACGACGACGACGACGACGGACGCCGCGCCCGCGGAGGCCGAAGACGACGCGCCCGCGACGCCGACGCCGACGGCGGACGCGCGCTCGCCCCCCGCTGTCGTCGCCGCGCCCGTCGCGACGCCGACGCGGACGCCTCTCGCGGCCCGTCCCGAGTCGACGAACCCGAACCCGAACCCGACGACGACGACGACGACGCGCGAGGCGCACCGCCCGCGCCCCGCCGTCGCCGCGGAGACGGACGAGGTGGAGGAGGAGGAGACGCAGGTCCCTCTGGACGCCGCCGCGGACGTAGGCGACCCGAGCACAAGGCACAAGAAGAAGAAGAACAAGAAGAAGAAAGAAGACCACCATGGATGGAAACCATCGCCGTCGCCGTCGCCGTCGCCGTCGCCGTCGCCGCCCGAGAAGCCCACGGAGGCGGCGATCGTCGCCGCGTGCTGCGCGGCGTCGTACGTCGTCAGTTACGGCGAGGCACGACCGAGCGCGCCGCGGCCGACGACTCTTCGCCCGCGCGGTGAAGTCGCCGACGCCGCCGCCGCCGCCGCCACCCCGACATCATCGGACGCGCGACATAAGGGAGGAGGATACGATGGGATGTCCTGGAAAGAGTGGAAGGAGCGGCAGGACTGGAAGTACGAGCACGCGCACGGCGGCCACCACCACGACGACAAGCCGTACTACCCCGAAGACGCGTGCAGCGAGTACATGCGCGGCGTCGTCGACGTGTGCTGCGATCTGAAGGGCCGCGCGCGCGGGGTGACGTACGAGTGCGGTACGGCCTTGGTGGACGGGTGCTGCGGCGCGGGGCCGTCGCCGTCGCCGTCGCCGTCGCCTGGTCCCGGTCCCGCGCCCGCGCCGGCCCCCGGCCCGGATCCGGGCCCGGCTCCCGGTCCCGCGCCATCGCCGTCGCCATCGCCGTCGCCATCGCCGTCGCCATCGCCGTCGCCGTCGCCATCGCCGTCGCCGTCGCCGTCGCCGTCGCCCTCCCCTTCTCCCTCGCCGTCGCCGTCGCCGTCTCCGGAACCCGACGGGTGCGGCGCGACGTGCGTGAACAACTGCGTGTCGAACTGCGTGTCGAACTGCGTGAACAACTGCGTGATGTACTGCGGGCGGCATTGCGCGGAGAAAGAAGAGCCCAGCGCGTCGTACGCGAAGCGCGATCCTCGGAAGCTTCGGAAGCGCCGGAAAAATACGCGACGAAGCGACGACGACGACGACGGGAACGGAGGTGGCCGATGACAGACGCGCGAGCGCGAGCGAAAGACGACGAAGCGAAGGATACGTCGTGTTAGTTTGTATGTTTTCTCTGATGATGATGTCAATGCTTGACCGACTTAAAAGTTGTCCACGTCCGGGGTGTCGTCCGGGATGTACGTGTCCTCCACATCTTTCAAAAAGTCCGCGTGCAGGTCCACCTTCTCCTCGGTTTCTGCCGCGCGCTTAGTCGCCTTCTCGCGCTCCCACCGTTGGCACACCTCCTCCCAGTTCGGCAGCGCCTCGGCTTTCTCCACGAAGAGTTCGCCGTCGCGAATCACCAACACGCCGTCCGCGCCGTGCTCCTCCGCGCCCTTAACGCTCTCCACGCGAGCGTTACCATCGTTATCGAGGACGATCACCGGCTTCGTGAAGTCCAGCTTGCGATCGAACGCGTGCTTCTCGTCGTGCGGGTTTTGCGCCCACACGAGATACACCTTCGTCGTGTTCTCCTCGAGCGTGTCGTAATCCGTCGGGCCGCCGCTCTCGTCGTGGCTCTCCTCCCGCCGCAGCTCGCGCTCCGTCCACGCCACCTCGTTGTAATACCCTGGCGGTATGTGCATCGCCGCGGACGTGTCCACGCGCTGCGCTTCGCCCGCGAAGTTGCCGTCCTCGCGTCGCTTCGCGGCCATGATCTCCCGGACGTCGAGCCGGCCGTCGTTGGTTCGCGCGATGAGGTAATCGACGCCGTGTAATCGCAACGGATGGTACGACTCGAAGTCTTTGGGCAAGCCTCGAGGGATGACCTCCTTGAAGTCCTTCGCGCTGCTGACGTCCGCGACGAACCCGAGCTCCGCGCCGCCGTCGCTCTGCGACGGCAGGTCCAGAGATCCAGACTTCGTCTGTCGGACTTTTTCCGACAAATCCGGGAAATCCCGCGGCGTCACCGGCGGATCGTCCGGGTGCCGCTCCAATCCCATCTCCCGCGCCAAGTCCTCCTTGCTCCAGCTCCCGTCCACGAAGGACAAGTACCCCGCGCTCCGCGAGAAAAACTCCCCCTGACCAGTCACGCGCTCGTCCGCGACGAAGCCCTCCATCCCCGGCACGTCCTCGAACCCGGGCGCGTTCAGAGGCGCGTCGTAGTCGTTCAATCCGACGACGTCGTTGAAACCCAACGGGTCGTCCGCGAAGATGTCCCTCTTCTGGGTCCCCTCGGCCCCCATCATCCCGCCGCCGCCGCCGCCGAAGTCGTCGTCCTCGACGCGGTCGGGGCGGCGTCGTAACCCCGTCCGAGAGTCGCCCCACTCGTAATCGCCGAGCTGCTCCGGCTCGCGGAAGTAGTCGCCGTCGTCCGCCGCCGCCGCCGCCGCCGCCGCGGGCGGGGAGGACTCCGCCGCCGCCGCCGCCGCCGCCGCCGCCGTCGCGGCGTCGCCGCCCTCCTCTTCTTCTTCTTCGTCCTCTTCTTCTTCTTCCTCAGCCTCCTCCGCCTCTTCCACCTTCCTCGCCGCGAGCTGCGACGGCAACGTCCCCGCCTTCGCCGCCGCGGCGTCCGCGGCCACCGCCGCCATTTCGCCGCCCGTCGTCCCCACCGACGTCGGCGTCTCCTCCGACGGCTTGCGTCCGAGCAGCGTGAGAAAGTCGTTGTCCGTCGTCAGAGCCGCCTTCAACCCCTTCGGCGGCGGCGTGCTCTTCGCGACGCCGACGATGGCGCGTATCGCCGCCTCCACGGGCGCGGGCGCCTTCGCGCCCGCCGCGCTCAGGCTCCCGAGCGTGTAGTACGCGTTCTCTTCCGGCGCCCAGATGCACACGGCGGGGCACTCGCGCTCGACGGCGTCGCCGACCCAGCACACTTTCCAGCCTCTGCCGATGGAAGAGAGCGGCGCGTGCGCGCCGCTGGGTTCGATCCCGTGCTCCTCCATCGCGTCCACCCACCGCTGCTTCGGCCACTCGATGACCGCGCTCGGCGGCAGCGGCGACCCGGCCGCCTCCGCGGCGGCGGCGACGACGTCTTGAGAGATGACCCCCGCGGGGCCGTGGAAATCGAAGTGGACGCCGTACTCCGCGTGGAACGCCGCCGCGGAGACGCCGCGCCCGACGCACCACTTCGCGACGCACGTCTGCGGCTCCGGCGCCGGTTGACGTTTCGTCGGTCGATCGGTCGCGCCTCGCGACGCTTCGCCTTCCCGAGTGAGAAGACCAAGACCGTCGCCGCCGTCGGCGTCGTCCGAGCCGGGGTAGGGCGCGGCGGCCGCCGCCGCCGCCGCCGCCGCCGGGTCCGTCGCGATGGCGTACGCCTCGGCGAAGCTCGCGTTGGCTTCCTTCTTTCGGATGCTCTCGATCGCGGCGATCACGCCGTCCGCGTCCGTATCCGCCTTGGCGTTCGCGACGCCGTTCTTCACGTCGGTCATGGTGTAGAATCGCCGCTTCCCCGGGACGTACAGCAACGCGACGCCGTGCTCCGCCCAGCAGATTCTGAGGGTGATTGCCCATACGCGCGAACGTCGGGGTGGAGTTGAAAGGCGTCAGAAGCGGAGTTGAAAGGCGCCGAGGTGTGTCGGGATTGAAAGCGAGGGACCCTGGGAGGAGAGAATCGCCAGGCAAAGTCCTTAAGGAACGACGTTCACCACGCCGACGGGGTCGTATGGGGACCAGTGTGATATAGAACGCGCCTGAATCCTCGCAGCGACGGCACGGACGCGAACGTGTCGAGGAACGTCACGTCCCCTCTCTCCGGCTTCGCCGCCTCGATCCAGTCCTCCTTCCTCCAGTCGCTGCTACCCGTCATCTTGATCCCCTTCGCCTCGCACGCCTTGCGCGTGATCTTGCGGCCGTCCGTCGACGACGGCGTCGTGAACGCCCACGCGAGGCCGGTGAGATCGTGTAGCTCCACCGCGTCCCATCCGACGCCGCCGCTGTCGAGCGGGTGCGGGTTAACGCGCGGCGGGCTCGGCGTCGTCGACGTCGCGGAGAGCGCGAACGATCCGAGCGCGGCGGAGGAGGGGGAGGGGGAGCTACACGATCTCACCGGCCTCGCGTGGGCGTTCACGACGCCGTCGTTGACGGACGGCCGCAAGATCACGCGCAAGGCGTGCGAGGCGAAGGGGATCAAGATGACGGGTAGCAGCGACTGGAGGAAGGAGGACTGGATCGAGGCGGCG